GCTGTTCCCTTTTTTTTTTTTTTTTTTTTTTTGTTCATGACAGTGATTCAATCATCGGATTACATAGTTAGCTGTATATATATATATATACATACATACATAAAAATATATATGATTCAAAATATCGATAGATTATAAAAAAACTCTGGGATTTCGATCATTAGGGTCCTCTTTTTTTTTTACAAGTAAATAATACGAGAGAGAGAGAAATTGAAAGAACAAAAAAACTAGCCTAACCTTTAAGGCGAGTGAAATAACTCATATTAGTTCTGCAATTATACATTCAATGTGTATAAATAAAAAGGGGCCCATACTTTTAATCGACCCAACTCATACACGCAGATATACTTCATTTCTAAATTAAATGCAACAAACTATAAGTTTATGCTTTGATGGAATGGTCCGACCATAAACCACGCCAAAACCGCATCAACCATGTGCATCTTCCATTTATTAATGGGGGAATTATAATTTATAACCCGGCGGATAAAAAATTACATAGATTTACAATGATGGGCTTCTGATTAACATTGGACTACTGGTTACGCGAATCATCAAGATAAAATACATACATACATATATATCTATATATATGATTCAAAATATCGATAGAAATTGATCGACGGCAATCTGTTCCTTTAACCGCCCTCCGATTTGTTCTCCGAGTAGGAAATGAGAGTGACGAGAAGATCGGCGAAGGCTCTGACGATGAAACTGTGAGCGTTTTTGGGGTTAAGAGCCAAGTAGCAGAGAAGAAGCTCATGCAGCTTTTCCCAGTTGGCTCTGGCGTCATGCAGACCACGCGCCTCCACCATCTCTTCCATCGATCTCCGGAAATCGGCGTACGGGTCCGGCGAGTATGTATCCACCGCCACGCCGTCCATTGCCGTCGAATGGCGATCAGACGTCGACGGGGACACCGACATCGAAGATCCGGCGGAGATGGACGGACTGGATTCGATGATGGCATTTGACCGGCCGGGGGACGAGAAGAAAAACCGCTGAGAGGCGATTGCGGCGGCGAGATCGGGCTCGGAGTCAGAGTGTGGGTCGGGGTTGCAGTCAGCGGCATTGAAGAGAGAGTTGAAGTTCTGGAAAACGGGGCGTGTGCCGGCGGAGTGAGATGGACGGCCGAGAGCGTCCGGGGACGGGTCGGAAGACATGGACCGTTTGATGACGGTGAAGCACGGGATGAGATTTTTCATATTCGTATTTCGTTTTCTATCGAACTGACGACGAGAAAGCAGAGATAATTCTAGAGAGAGAGAGTTCAACCAAAAAAAAATTCTAGAGAGAGAGAGAGAGTTTTTTTTTTTCTGTCGTGGTTTTGGGTTCAATGGCGACGAGACTTTCCCTTAAAAGGCGGCGAAGTGTGGACGTATGTCGTGTACGTACGTTTACATATTTTCCTTACTATTTTATTTCATTTTTTACATCATATAATTATAAATAATGTTGCGTAACGCCAATCCGATTGCGTTACACTCAATCTTGTCAACGATACACCATCTACAACTGTGAATTTCTGTGCACATCATATAAAAGAATCACATAACGGATCCAATATGGCTCAACCGATAAGGGAGGGAGCAAAACTCTTTCC